TCTCCAAAAAGTTATAAAAGTAAGTAGAAGACTGGAGATGCTGCTGGGTGCAGAGCACATAAGCTCTTCAGGCAGTCTGCTGTACTGAAAATAAATTGCTTGCACACACACCCCTTCCACAGTTATAGTCTTCTCTCTGTTTTTGTTATATTTTGACTATGTCTCCTTTTCAATTACTCACTGATAACATGGGCTTCACAATAATTGAAAACTACTTTTCTCAAGTAGTTACTAAGTCTCCATTAAACACTGACTTCAAACCACAGATCTCTTCAGATTAAAGGAAAGCCAATACTGTAGCTCATGCTAAAATTGGCTTTTCGGTGAAGAGTCGACACTTGGAACATCGACCTGAACTCCTTCCCTTTTTATTTTTAGGGATCAAGAAAAAGAAATCAAAAAACAAAAAAGAAAACAGAAAACAACTCAATCCATGAAAGTAAGTAACTATTGTAAACTTGCTTTCGCCATAGAAAAATGATATTTCAAATTATTGCAAAAACATTCTTGAGGGTCTCACTTTATGTTTGAGGCTGAAGTGGGCCTCAAACTTATGTCCATCCTCCTGCCTCCGTCTCCTGGTGTAATTTCTGAGGTATTTGGAATACCTCAGACAATAGATTATTCTTTTTTTCCTCTGTATTTTTGAAAGACAGGATCTGGTGACAGAGCTCTGGCTGGCCTGGAACTTGCTGTGTAGCATATGCTGGCCTCCAACTCACAAAGATCCACCGCCTCTGCCTCCTGCGCAGTGAGATTAAAGTTGTGCACACCAACACGCCTAGCAACATACCTGTCTTCTAATTTTCCCACAGACATTTCTGTTGCTTCAGATTCGTCAGGTTTTGTCTTCTTTTTAAGTACTGTACTTTCTGGGAATGAGAAGTCATTTGCCCCAGACCTTCATTTTATCTTTGTGGGTAGGTAAGTAATATGTCACTGAAATCTAGAGTCAGAACTCCACATGTAAGCCAACATGATACATTCTGTGTGAGCAACGTGTCATTAGTTGCATACCAGAAACTTGTCTAGCTTAAGAGCCGGTGGGGCTCCGTGCTGGGACATTTTTAATGACATTGAAAGGCATTGTGGTGGTGTCAAGGATAACAGCCCCCCACAGGCTCCAGTGTCTGAATCTTGGTTAGAGTTAGTGGAGCTGTTTGGGAAGGATTAGGAGCTGTGACCCTGTTGTAAGCCTTGGAAGTTCCTAAAGCCCATACCAGACCCAGTTAGCTCTTTCTGCCTCGTGGCTGTGTCTCAAGAGGTGGGTTCTCAACTACTGATCCAGGGCCACACCTGCCCGCCTGCCTGCCTGCCCGCCTGCCCGTCTGCCGCCGCCATGCTTCCCACCATGACTGTCATGAATTCTAACCCTGTGGAACTGTAAGCCTAAATAAACATCTCTCTTGTAAGTTGTCTTGGTTGTGGTTTCCTGTCACAGCAACAGAAAAAGTATCTAGTCCGGGCAGTTTTCTGTTTTGCCAAGGACAAGGCACACAGTCTGTCTTTCTGCAGTACACATCTACAGCCATGGAGTCTCCTGTTTCCGGCTTGTTTCCTGGTTGTGGATCATCCCTTGATGTGAGAGCAGAAACATGGTGCTCTCACACCAGCCTGTGAGTGCTCTGGCCTGTGCATCAGACCTAACAGTCTTCTGTTCCCCACAGCTGTCCCCTTCAGTCCCCTCGTGTATACCAGAGGTTGTGTCCGGTTGCAGGGCTGTCCAGTCACTTCCAGATTGTTTCTCTCCAGACCTCCGCAGTCACCTCCTTTCTTTTTTTTTCTGAAGGACGTCTGCTCTTTTACAGACACAGGCCCCTTTCTTCTGCAGCATAACCTTGTCCTTCCTGGAAAATGAGATGGCTAGAGACTCACCATTCAAAGTTCACTCCTTTGGGTACTCTTTATAAACTTTAGGACAGTTAACTGAAAACATAAATCACTCACCTTAACTAGTGACCAACAGCCAAGCCAATGCAAAATTCCCCATGATGTTTAAACACAAGGGGCCACTGAGTCCAGCCTTGGCCCCCACTGATATTATACCTGTCCCCAGAGACCTGGACTCCTGTCTGCCCTGGGACCTGCTTCCTCTGCTTGCCTTAGTCCTTAGTTTTGTGGATGAAATGCAGAGCCTGGGATCTGAGATGCCCAGATCTCACTTCCAATGTTATTAATTCAATAGGAACCGGTTGCTGATTATTGAGAGAAACCCAAGCAAACCCAAGTTCTGCCTCAGGGTCTCAGAATCTCTACATGACAGTGTGCACAGCCTTACTGGCAAACCTGTCTTTCCTCAGCCCTTGGCTCAACTGTGTGGGACTGTTGAGCGCTCTGGCAGAGACTCAGACACCCTGAAGAGACTCTTGTCTCTCAGTCTGACCATCAGAATGTTGAAACAATGGACCCCAGAGAAATGAACCTGACTCAGGAAAGGGCAAGGGCATCAGCCAGGGATCTTATCTCTGGGAGAGAGATTTCACACCAAATACCAAATACCAAATACCACCAATGCAGTATTAACTCACAACCAACCAAATACTGCTAATGCTGGTTATGGTTAACTGATAACCAACCAAATACTGCTAATGCTGGTTATGGTTAACTGATAACCAACCAAATACTGCTAATGCTGGTTATGGTTAACTGATAACCAGCAACAGCTGTGGTGCTCCACAGGCACTCTTGTGCACTGGACTAGGTACTCCTACTGAAGTACTAGTGATAAGTCCTTCTGTGAGCCAAGCTGTGGGCATCCATCCTTATTCATCCAAAGAGCCCACACACTAGACACAGGGTATCCTTACAACCTTGAGAGACCCTTCTTGAGACCTCAACAATAATAGTTTCTCCCGGGCTCAGTTTTCCTAAGTGAGATGTTGGGATACAACAGTTCAGAAAGAAAATGTTCCATATTCCTTACTATGACACCTTGTTACCGACATTTAAAACTGTGGGGGTTGCATTTCCTGGTAGCAGTGTTTCCTGCCTATCTCTGTAATCTATTCCTTCCTATGGCTTCACTAATCATAATCACTTTCTTTCAGCCCCTGAAGTGATGCATCTGTTTCCAAAGTTCTTTGGCCGCCATTCCACCACTATCTGTGTTCCACAAAGGTTACCATTGGCTGGCTGTGCTGATCCTGTCTGCCCAGCTTCTCCCTACTGCATCACAGTGTGCTGTGTGGGAAGAGTGAAGAGGCCAGCAGACTGGGTTCTAGTCATGCTGGTTAAAGACATTACATGGTTTAAAGACAGCAGAATGCCAGGGAGTATCTGCAGGGTTTTTGTTTGGTTTGGTTTGCTTTTTCCGAAGACCAGACCAGCGCTCAGTCAGTCCCAGGCTGAGGCCTCCTACCTGGACATTCTAGTGGCTTGGCCTGTCCCAGAGGGAAAACAAAGCTTTCATCCTGTATGTTCCGTTTCAAGTGTGTTACCTGGTTCCTATATGTCTGGGGTACACCTTAGACATCCCAAGGAAAAGCTGAATGAGAGGTCAAAACATTTGGCAAACTGGTAACCTACCATAGACCTGTTTTGATCTTCATGTTCAAAGCCCAGGATAGGCGATACTTGTGAAGCCACTACGGTCTTAGGAGCTGGGAAGTTCTGCCCAGCATCACATCAACGTTTTAAAGCTCTCACCCAACAATGCCCACTCAGGCACTCGCTCTGTCCTTTCTCCCTCACCATCCCGCTCCTCTTCCTCCCTGCTCCCTCCCCTCTCTTTGTTCCTCTCTCCCTTGACGGGGGAGGTCCTTCTGTGTATGTGTTTGTCTTATTGGTTGATAAATAAAGTACTGTTGGCCAAAGGGAGCAAGTTAGGCGGGACTAGGAGAGAAGGAGGATTCTGGGGAATGTAGTAAAGGGACACAGTCGCCATGTGATCACCAGGAAGACAGGACGCATTCCGCCGGCGTCCTCAATCAGATAAGTCTTTATAAAATATTTAGATTAATAATTATGGTTGATAATTAAGACTGAGCTAGCAAGTAAGAAATCCTAGTCATTGGCCAGCAGCATTGTACCTAATATAAGTCTCTGTGTGTTATTTTGGGCACCCACATGGCAGCGGGGCTCGGGCGGCTTGGCGGAAAGAGTTATCAGTAGTACACCCCCTGGGCCCACACGTCTGGCAAGCTTGAGGTAAAGTGTCTCTGTGCCCTAATTTTGATCCATGCAAACAAACCCCACCTTGAAAACTGAATAGGGGCTCACACTGTCCTGTGGTCTGTGACTCATGCCCAGCCTGCAGACCAGGCAGGTTAGGAAAGACATGTTTTAACCAAGGAGTTAAATATCTACAATTCTTACGCATAACTTATGCTGCCCCCTAACCCTACAGTTGGGCCATTATTTTTCCTTCAGACACCCTGGTCCGTCTGATGGGCGTTTTATTCTCTGTTGTTTTTCCTTCATTTTTAGTGACATATCAAAGCCTGGGGAGAGGAGGCATAAGTGTTACAGACGCTGTGATCAGACATCTGAGAGCTAGAAGAAGGGGCCAGTGAATAATTGTGCGATGGTCATTTTACAAAGACAAGTCTTTGATTGAAACACAGGAGTGGTGGTGCTGTGCCAAGGGAGGTGGGGGCTACAGAGAGAGAGTGAAGTGTGCTGCAGCCTGCAGCACCCGAGAGAGAGAGAGAGAGAGAGAGAGAGAGAGAGAGAGAGAGAGCAGCCTCAGAGCCTCAGAACACTGTTGGGAAGGATAATTAGTTTGTCAACAGCTGTTCCTGAGTCTGTGCCTCTAAATAAAGAGGAGAACACAGACAAGTCGCCCAGCTCTGCACCTGGGGGCTGAGGCACTCCGAGAAGATTCTGGTCAGGCTCTGGAGACAGGAGGGGCTTCTTCAGGAAAATGAAAAATGTGATTAAAACCATTTCTCGTCTCTTCACTGTAAGAAGAGCAGGAGGGACGACTTGTTTCTGACTCTTTTGTTACTGAATCATTTGGGGGCATGGGCAGCATCTGACATTTAACCCGTTCTGTCAAAAAGGAACGAGAGACAACCCAGATCATGAGACACAGACTGGGTCAGCGTAAGCATTGTGCGCTGGTCGGATGTCAGTGTTGTTTTAACTCCTAACTAGTAATGCTTTGTTTCCTCACCAGAGTAACATGGCAGTCTTAGAACTTTAAGAAAAATGATCTAAAACGACTAAAAATATAATTACTGGGAAATGTAAAATTAAACCTGGTGGAGCTGGTGACTTGGGGATCAGCATGCAGCCCCATCTGGCCTCAGCATCCTCTGTTCTGGGAATTACAGTTGAACTCAGCCCCTCAATCACTTCACCTCACAACTGCCAAACACATATATGCTGAAGACAGTGACTTAAGTCTTGGTCATCTCTATTTTGTGCTGATCTTCTTTCTAAGCTGCCTTCCAAACAGACTCACCATCAGTAGCCAGCCATTGTCCGTCACCTTAGGGAAAACTTCAGAACATTGTGTGTCATGGTCCAGCATCAGCCAGGGCCTGAACTGACGTCCGTGGCTTCAGTTACTACCAGGGGCCGTGTGGATACCCAAGGTCTGGACAGTGACCTGAGACCATGTTGGGTGTTCCCAGGCAGTGTGTGGCTGCCACCAGGGTCATACCGACCTGGGTGGCCTATGCTGCCACCAAGACCATGGTGACGTCTAAGTACAAGCTACGGCTGAGGGCCACATCTGGGTCCATGGTCCTGCTACAGGTGGGGCCTGTGCTGACGTCCATGGTCTATGTTGCTGTAGGGGGTCATAGGAACCGAGCATGTTGAAATCTGAGAGCGGGGCCCCTTGATGGATAGCTGGCCCTGCCCCTTGCTGGTCACTGTAGCAGGATAGTTGGCCACACCCCCCATGTGAGAGCTGGCCCCACCCCCCACCATGGGTGTGAGAGACCTGGCTCTGCCCCTTGCCTGAGGGGGTAGTCCCAATGGCCTGGACCAAGCAGCTCAGCTGCCACCCAGCCCCATGTCCTGAGCCTTGAGTTGGCCCACCCCAACATGTACTCATCTATGACACTGGAGAACATGAAGGGACTGGGAATGATGGTCACATGACCCGGGCAACAGCAGGATGTCCAAGAGAGTTTTGGCTATGCACCAGTGATGATGGTGTGCCTTGAACAAGACCAGTGACTCATTGCAACAAGCATTTTGTGAATGGGGCTGATTGAACAAAAGGGTCTACTGTGTGACACACCACAGCACCCAGTGCCACTAGAGGAGCAAGGTGGTCTTTTTGTTTTGTTTTTAGTTGATTTGGAGGGTTCTTCTGTAGGGAATGCCGCAGGGGTAGGGGGAGGGTATGGAGGGACGAGGATGTGAGCAGGGGTGGGGGGAGGGTATGGAGGGACGAGGATTGAGCAGGGGGGGGGGGGGGGGGAGGGAAGGGAGGCTCAAGGATTGAGCAGGGGTGGGGGGAGGGTAGGGAGTGACAAGGATTGAGCAGGGGTGGGGGGAGGGTATGGAGGGACGAGGATTGAGCAGGGGTGAGGGGAGGGTATGGAGGGACGAGGATGTGAACAGGATTGGGGTGTATGATGTGAAATTTCCAAAGAGTCAATAAAGAATTGTTATATACAAAAAGAACAGTGTGTGTGTGTGTGTGTGTGTGTGTGTGTCTGTGTATGTGTGTGTGTGTGCTGTCTGTGTGTGTGTGTGGTGTGTGTGTGTGTGTGTGTGTGTCTGTGTATGTGTGTGTGTGTGCTGTCTGTGTGTGTGTGTGGTGTGTGTGTGTGTGTGTGTGTGTCTGTGTATGTGTGTGTGTGTGTGATGTCTGTGTGTGTGTGTGTGATGTCTGTGTGTGTGTGATGTCTGTGTGTGTGTCTGTGTGTGTGTGTCTGTGTGTGTGTGTGATGTGTGTGTGTGTGATGTCTGTGTGTGTGTGTGATGTCTGTGTGTGTATGTGTGTGTTTGTGTGTGTGTCTGTGTGTGTGTGATGTGTGTGTTTGTGTGTGTGTCTGTGTGTGTGTGTGTGTGATGTCTGTGTGTGTGTCTGTGTGTGTGTGTGTATGAGTACAGGTAAAAACAGGTGTGTGCATGTCAGGGGGTGTTCACTTACATGTGAAGCTAGAAGTCTAGTATCTTCTTTAGTAACGACCCCCCCCCCTTTTTTTGAGATTGGGTCTCTCTCACTACATCCAGAGCAAGGTTATCTGACCAGAGAGCCCCGAGGATCTGCCCTCCCAGCAATGGTGTTTGTTACATGTCATGTGTGTGCCTGGCTTTTACCTGAATGGTGGGGATCTGACTTCATGTCCTCATGGTGCATGGTAAACACTTTTACCCACTGAGCCATCTTCCCAGCTTCCCGCTTAAGGCTGGTTTATTGAAAGCCTTTGGGAATTTATTTTCTTTCATATACTCTCATGCGTGTATGTGACATGTCGTTGATAAAAATGTGTATTATTATATTTCACATAGTCATAGTACACGTGGAGAGAGCACAAGGGAGGAAACAGTACTGTGGCTGTGGTTTGAGTATGTGTCCACTGGCTGATTCCACCAAGTAAGGATTTGTTTGATCAAGATGCCCTGGCCCATCTCAGCTGGCTCACACAACCCTCCCCCCCCCCCACCCCCCCTCCCACAGTCTAGGAACTGAAAGGACATGTGCTGGGATTTTACCTATCAGCCTTAGCAGTAGAAGATCTAAGATGGTACAAAGACAGTACAAGACATCTGGAAATGACAACTTTAAAATGCCAAGCCCCACAAATCAAATCTTGGATCAGCAAATCCTTTACCCATTGAAAATCTAAGAGTAATGTACAAAGCTCCTTGCCAGCAGTAGATCCAGTGTAGAAAGACTTGCCCGATGTATAGGTACATCTCAGAGATCAGACTACCAGGCCAAGGGCTGGACTCAGACAGAAATCTGAGAGGGGCTGGAAGGGTCCTGCAGGAAGACTTGAGTTCAGTTACCAGCAGCCATGTTGGGTGGCTCATAACCACCTGTAACTCCAACTCCAAGAGATCTAATTCTCTCTTCTGGCCTCTGAGGACAATACACTCAAGTGCACATGCCTACACATAGACACACTCAAAATGAATCTTTTAAATCTAAAAAAGTAACAAGGCACATGATAAGTATAACTACTTTGTTAGATTGGAATGCATCACTACCATTTTATATTGGCTGACAAACACCTGTCCTCAAAACTGTGCTTTGTGCCGTAAATATCCAGTGGGAGTGTAGCAAGAACCACAAAGATAGATAGATAGAGAGAAAGAGAGAGAGAAAGAGAGAGAGAGAGAGATCCAGTGGGAGTGTAGCAAGAACCACAAAGATAGATAGATAGATAGATAGATAGATAGATAGATAGATAGATAGATAGATAGATAGAGATATAATCAATTTATTAAGGGATGCTATGATGATAACAGACACTCACGGATACAGGACAAGGTATAACCAGCTACAAAGTCCTTCTCTTCTGCCTAAGGAAGCTGGAAACTAGCCACACGCTGCTTCATGATACCTGACCTGGTCTTCACAACCCAAGACAGCATGTGACCTGTATCTCTCTCCTTTTAAGAGATCACATCTGCAGACAAGAAGCCACACCCTAAGGCCAGTACTCCAAAGCTATTGGCTGAATGAATTCCCACAACATATTTTGTCTAAATAAGAAGGTTCTAAACCTATACAAAACTATATACAATGAGAACAATTACAAAGTATTGTCAAGGAGAAAGAAAGGGTAATAACATACACAAAAGTGGAGCTCCAACAAAAACAACCTCAAGCAAGAAGCACATTCTAAATGTCCAGACTATAGGTAATTGGCAAATTACAGATTATTCCCATAGCTGTCCTATCCTGAAGAGTCGAAGTCTTGTACCTAATGTACTTTAGCTAAGATATGAGAGAATAACACCTGTGACTATCTAATTTTCAATCCCATAAAGACCTGAGAAGGAAAATAATATTACCTGAGAAAGCAGGAAGTACAAGCAAGTGACTTCCAAAAGGTGTGAGAAATGACAGAGACAGCTGGCTGCCTGGACAGTCACCCAAAGTCTCTCTGCAGCGTTGGGGCAGCCAGCTTTGGCTATAGATCTAGCATATCTGAAAGACCATTTGGGAGTTTAATTTTAAAATAGGATCCATGCTCAACTGCAAAGAAAAAGGGGTACAATTGCCTGGTTTTTGTTTTGTTTGTTTTTCATTTTATTTTGCATTCCATGATTTTTTTAAATTGTGGTTGGCTTATACCTCCATTTTATTAGTCAGTTATTGAACGAACATGATTTACCATTTGTCATTTTGCTACAAGTAATTTTTTTGAGGAAATAACAATACAAAAAGCAAGTTGCTTTAGAGAAAATACAGAGATTATTTTCTTGATACACAGTGAGAGAGATGCTTCAAGTATATTTAAATGTCTTGAAATTTTAAAAATGATTTGAAAATCCAATAATGTTATAATGCCACTTGGTAAATATTGGTTTTTGAAAGACAGTAAGAGCCACTTCAACTTAGATTTAATTTTATTGCCAAGTCTCAAAGTCCATATAAAATGCAATCTTGTCCGTTCACCAACCTTCGGAAAGGGCCGCATTTAACATCAAATAACCCAGATGCACCTTGTCCTAATGAGCATCTAGAGGAGACACTACCATTTTTCTTTGGCTTTCTGGCAAAAACACCACCAACGTAAAACAAACCATCTCTTTATGCGCTTGATAAAAATAAAGGCCCTGCCTCCTCCCTTTGTTCATCATCGTTTGATGTGTGTGGTGTGGTTCGTGGCTATGTGTTCCTGTTCCATGCTGGTGTGCCAAGGCCTGCGTGTGTCTGGTATAGTTCTCGACACGAGCCTCTGCCCTTGCAGGCGTCTGACCAGATCCCCCTCAGCACCCATCCACAACTGGCTTGCAACTTAAAAGCTCTATGAGCCCATCCCCATCTACTGTATACACAGCAGTAAGGAATTGCCAGGAGAGGAGGCCTCTATGTAGCGTCTGCAAGTTATCCATGGCCGTGGCTTTTTGAGCAGACACTTGCTGGGGTGGGCTCTGCAGCCAGGCAGCCACCTCTAAGTTACCAGCCTCCTGCAAGTAGCTCCAGAAAATACCCTGTGTCTCCAAGCTGGAGTCAGAGAATCAACTCTTCTCTCTGTTGATTCCTCTCTATTTGAGAGATGAGATATTTGTTCTTATCTCTCCAGGTAAAGTCACACAACAACGTGGCTTCGGGGAAACCTTACCAAATGGGGGTGGCATGCCCTCTTCATCGCTCCCTCCTGCTTCTGTCTTGTGACATGAACACATTGTCAGTCCAGTCACTGCCAACCAAAATAAACCCTGTACAGAAAGCTTGACTCTGACATTGATGAGGCCGGTAGCCTCCCCGGCTTACCTGATACTCTTGTCTTGTTTCATGTTGCCATTTTGTAATGTAAAGCAGAACTTGACCCCATCTCTCCCATGGAAATAGCCCACACATTTGAAAGCTCTGGGGAGAAATCTGCAGGTGTTAACAACCACCCATCAATGACGGCCTTACAGAGACAAAGCAGGAGTGGAGCACAGTAAACCTTCGGATGCAGTTATCAAATATTATGAGTTGGTCTGAGGATTTCATTTTCTTTATTGAGATAAAGGTCACACCGTTTAGCTCTGGCCAGTCTGAAACTCAGTATGTCACCCAGGCTGGCTTTAAATTTTTGGCAAGCTTCGTTTCTCTGACCCCCACCCCCAATGAGGGGAACATTATCCAAATTACAGACTACAATTAGATGAAGAATTCTACATTATAAATTTCTTTTTTTCAGCCAAAGTAGCCATATCCAAAAGTGTAATTTTCTTAATACTTTCTCAAACCTCTCTGGTCACTTTGGAGTTTCTCGCACTGTTCAAGCGGTAGATGAAGGGCTAAAGAGGACCTCGAAGGATGTTCACGCTAGAGGTCTGTTAGCATCATGGGAACAGTCACACCAAAGCACAGCTGCTCCAAAGAAAGACTTGTCTCTTCTTAAATGAAAATAATTGAATTGTGTTTTTTTTAAAAAAACGTTATTTCAAAACATAAGCGTTTTTGTAATAGAAAAGACTTGGAACAAACCCAAAGGTCTGGCATTTTAGAGACTGTGACACATTCCCACAGTAGAAACTTCACAGTAAACACAGCTACAGATAGGTGTGAAGATAGATTCTATTCAGATATCTGTGACGTGGAGGCGTGTGTGTGTGTGTGTGTGTGTGTGTGTGTGTGTGTGTGTGTGTGTGTCTGTGTGTGTGTGTGTGTGTCTGTGTGCCTGTGTGTGTGTGTGTCTGTGTGCCTGTGTGTCTGTGTGTGTGTGTACCTGTGTGTGTGTCTGTGTGTGTATGTGTGTGTCTGTGTCTGTGTGTCTGTGTCTGTGTGTGCGTGTCTCTGTGTGTGTATGTGTGTGTCTGTGTGTGTGTGTGTCTGTGTGTGTGTGTGTGTGTGTCTGTTTTTGTGTGTGCATGTGCACACGCACATGTGACCCCAGATAGGGAACATTGCTCAGCTGACCTCCACCTTATTTTTTGGCAGCGGGGTCTTGCAGTCAAATCCAGAGCTCACTGGTTCAGTTACTCTGGCTTACAGCCCGCCCAGGAAAACCCATCTACCCTCATCCAACCCTTGCTCTCACTGACAAGTCAGACCTGGAGTCTTGATGACAGGATGATAGCTGCCCACCCCCTCCCCCATAGTTTCGTGTTTTACTTGAAATCCAGTTCCTCCTGCCCTCTCTAATGTCTCCACAACACATTTAGAAAACTCTTCTTTGTGGTCTGGGAGGGGTCCAATCCCAGCACTCTTATGTCCTGTTTCTCCTTTTTTCATTTGTTTCATTTGGCAGAACCTCCGCTATACTTTGATCCCAGCCAGCAGTCACCTCAAACAAGTCCTACTCAAGCTTAGTGGTGGCCGTAGCTGGCTTTAGCAGCCCACATTCTAAATGTGACTGGCAAATGGCTTACCCATGATCCTGATGGGTATCACACTGGGAGCTCACATTTTAGCTTAGCTCATCTGCAGGGGTTACGAAGAAACAGTGTGTTACAGCTGCTGCTTTTAAAGGCCTCCCTCCCTGGTATTGTAAATTTCTCTGCACACTTGCTATGCTTTTAATAATTGAGAACTGAGCTCTAAAAGCCTCCATATCCTGGCCCAGGGGACCTGTAATCAAAAGAATATAATCAGATCCATGACAGCATCTCTCAGGCGCCTTTGGAGACACACGGACTCCGTTCTAGGACGAGCATCAAATCAGTGACACAGCTGCACTGATCTTGTCAGTGGGGCATGAGGACAGCGGTTAAACCTCAGGCTCCTTACTCCCATATCAGTGTCCCTGCTGGTAAATGACAGAGCAAAGGAGATAGTTGGCGATGGCTGATGTGACAGACAGAGTTTTTGCAAGCTTTTGACCTTCAGAGCCTTCATTCAAGTAGCATTGGGTGGAGAGGGCTGTGTCGCTGACTAAAGGGCAGAAGCGTAGCTTGATGAACTGTGCTGTCACCTCCATTGTCAGCTTCACCAAGGAGCCTGGCACCTCAGCGCAACACCATTCTGTTGTTTGTTTTGGTTTGGTTTTTGGTTTTTCGATTTCTCTGTGTTGCCCTGGCTGTCCTGGGACTCACTCTGTAGACCAGGCTGGCCTCAAACTCAAGTTTGCCTCTGCCTCCCAAATGCTGGGAAGCCTGGGTCACCACCACCCAGCCACCCAACACTGGATTCTTAAGGCAAATACCCTCATTGTCCAGGTAATAGCAGAGGAGACAGACAGCTGGTCTTGTCTGCCTGTTGGACACTGGAGCATATTCAACTCATAAAGTTAATGGGGGAAGGCTGGATGGGTTGGTAAGTGGTTAGGGCACTCCTTGCTCTTGCAGAGGACCTGGGCACAGTTCCCAGCACCCACATGGCAGCTCACAGCTATCTGTAGCTCCAGTTCCAAGGCATCAGACCCCTTCTGCCCTCACAGGCACTGCCTGTCTAGGCACACATACATACATACATACATGCAGGCAAAACACCTAAAATATACATCGTTTTTAAAAGTACATGGAGTACACTCACTATCTGTGCACTTTGTGTATATACTAGCGTTTACAGTGATGGTGGCTGCCACTACCTCAAAGTAGTATTGTGGCCTCAGATCAATGGTGCATCAATAAGGGACAAGCACAAAAGTACAACAGATTTACTGAATAAAAGATATTCATGGGAGTTACCCTTCCACAGTGACTTCAGATGTATTTGTTTTCTTCACTTTATTACCTGCATCCTTTGGGATTTCTTATGAGCATTTTAAAAAGCAAAAGGCCACCTCTTACAGTGAGGACGGTGATTGACAGTAAAATTCGTGTAGCCATCACGGTGTTTGTTCCTCGGGGCCTGGTCCAGCACCTCTCAGCAGTCGCCCTCATCCTGACTTTGAGGCTGGGGGCTGATTTGCAGAGGGGAAACCTCCATCTCTGCACATGTCTGTTTGCACCTGTTGGCGCCTCAAGAAAACACGGAGAATCTGCAAGGCATGGGTTCTGCAGAGGCCCTTGCAAACTCAGACCTCTGTGTTTGTGTAAGAAGCCACAGCGCTGCTTCGCTGATGGCTGCTTAAATTGCAGCAGGGCAGTTGCTACTTGGAAAGTCGTGTTTCCAGAGAGGACGGAGCGGAGCGGGCAGTCCTGCTCCCTGCTCTCCACGGGGTCAGCGTTCCACAGTACACACTGAAGAGCCACACAGGGATTCCTGAGCAGCTTTTTCCCAAGCGTGCCTCAGAGACGTCGCAGATAGTGAGACTGTCTGTGGGCTCCCAACCCCTAGCTAGCCCTCTCCCCTTCCTCTCTCACCCCGCACCACCCCTTTGGGGTAGGATGCCAGGATGCCTTCAGTGAGCACACATAAAGCAGCCACTCCACTCCCAGGGTTACCTTGTCATCTAAGGACAGTTTTACAGAGCTCCACCCGCCCCCTTCCCTTTGTGCAGGACACTCTAGCATCAGAGATGCTTGAGGATTGGGGACAGGCCGGTGCTTTCAGGAAAAAAAGCCAGCTCTGAGCTGAGAAAATCATCACTCCAGGAAGCCAACTCCACCAGTTGCTGACACCGGTTCACCCCAAGTCCGGGAACGCATCCCTCTGGGATCCCCTCTGCCAACAGCCTCAGGGATGTCTTCAGGTGGCGGTGGCTTCTTATTGAGGTCAGGGAGGAGACCTACCTGTGAGCCTTATGTGCCATGTGCCCGCCCTCAGGGACTGACAGATGCTTCTGCTGCCTCGGGACCTGGAGTTAGACTGTCACGAGCTGCCCGATGTGGATGTGAGAAGCTGCACCTGCGTCTCTGGAAGAGCAGCAAGTGTTCAAAACCACTGAGTTATCTCTCCAGCCCCTGGAATAGATTTTTAAAACTCACCAGCCTTGGAAAGAGCAGGCTGGGCACAGAGTCTCCCCAGTGCCCTCCAGTGTGCCAGGTTCATCTCAAATTCTTTCAACTCTGAAATTAGTTAAATGTGCCTAAAACGAGGAATCTTCCGAGGAAATGAACTATAGACTTAAAACTACTGTAAATTTCTTTTAACTATATGTTTATTGTTTAGATTTTAGTGGGATTTATATTTCATATTCCTAAATGTGGCCCTTCCCACAGGAAACTGCTGTGTTGACACTCCTTTATTCTCCCTCCCTCCTACATAGTTTATGGATATATATATAATGTCTATATGTATGTGTATATATATATATGGAGAGAGAGAGAGAAAGGGAGGGAGAGAGAGAGGGAGACTATAGCAGTGAACCCAACATCCTGGGCTGAGTCCACAGACAGTTACACTGTGCTTTCCTCCCCTCTCAGACCCTTAAGTTCTTTTATTTTTTGAGATTATCATCCCCTCATTTCCCCTTCCCTTTCCTCTGTCTAAACGCTCCCATGTACCCCGACTCTCTTTCAAATTCATGGCCTTTTTTTTTTTTAATTGCTGTTACATAAATGCATGAGGACAGCCTGCTCACTCAGTCTGTGTGATGTTACTCTGTTGTGTTTTTAGGGGTGATGGCGCTGGGTAGCCCGGCTGCGCTCTTCCCTGGGGAAGACCTTCTCCCCCTCAACACTCCTTAGTACCAATAGTTCTTTGTTTAAGGCTGAGGCCTCTTGAGCTTCCCCTGTCCCCATCAGCCTCCCGTTGTTGTCATCCCTGTTCAAGCAGTGTTTAGGTAGCCATGTTGGTAAGACTTCATGGTTTTAGCTTCTGACATTTCTAAGAGACATAATCTCACAGCAAACTTTCTATTCCTCCGTCTCTCACCATCTTTTTCCCTCTCTTCCACAATGGCCCCTGATCCTTGGGTTCAGAGTCGCATGGCTGATATATACACCTGCTGGGCGTGGGCACCACGCAATCTCTTGTTCTCTGCATTTGATTAGCTGTGGCTTTCTGCAATGGTCTTCATCTGTTGCAAGGAGAAGTTTTCTTGGTGAGGGTGAGAACTGCACTTAGAGCTGAATATTAGGAGGCTTTAACTTAACTTTAAAAAAAAAAAAAACGTATTCCAATGGAATCACTGTAGAGGTAGCTTTGCCAGCTTCCTCCCTTAGACCAGAAGGTGTTGCCAGGCAGTGCCTGTGAGCCAGCCCTGGCATTGAATGGCCACCTCTTGTTCTCCCTACTGTTGAGGGTCACAGTCTCTTTCTAGGGTTATGAAAAGCAGATCAGCATCACTTTATCAGACAGACCCCCAGCTCTGGGAGAAGGACGTGCTATGCTTCTACAGAGCCCACTCAGGAACAATGGCGACCGTGTGGGGACCAGCTTCGTGGTGCAGAGATCGGGAAGCTGACCCTGGTTTCTACCATGGATGTGATAGGCCGGAGCTAGCTCTGGTCCTCTCAATGAGAACGTCTGCTGGAGCTGGGTACTGAACCTCTGAGCAGATGTGGGGGACGGAGAGGAAATGTGCAGCTGGACCATCCAAGGCCCCTCCAGGTTTACCAGCTGTCAAGGCAGAACTTAGGCCTGACATTGCAAAGGAGAGTCTGGCAGATGGCTTCCGGCACACACAGCTAGACGTCGAGATGAGGTAAGGACCTGAGAGGCACAGTCTGTCACACAAGCCTCAATGCTCTTCTTCCAAGCCAGAAATAGATTATGGCATCAAGAGCCCTCCATACCAGCAAAGCTGTCCTCAAGTTTCCAAATGCACAAACGTTAGCCCACGTTGCCATGTTGTTCCTTCCAGAAGATTCTGCAGACGACAGTTCATCTTCTGCTAAGCCAGCACAATAATTTGGAGGAAAATATATCTTTAGGATTTTATAAGACGCGCCTGTGGGAAGCATGAGAGTGATGAGCCCCACGTCAGTCTAAGGTCATGGGTGACCAGCTGCCACAGTGAACACGAGCAACTCCCATTTCACCGAGAATTTACAGGGAGTTCGTCCATACCAGCCTTAATTTATTTCTCCAGCTCAGGGACATGTTATTCTCTGCGTATTTAAATGTCACCAATGAATGGCAAATTTAAACTGTTGAAGACCTTAGTAGCTGACGTCACCACGCTTCCCAAGAAGAGATGAGTAGGAGAGGCTACAGTAAGCGGGTGGCCATGAGAGCGAGAGAGAGGGGGCATTTGTCTCCGGCATATTCAACACATCTTGTGACTGTTTTAATCTTCACAATGGTTTAAGAAGGCTTATTTTTCTATTCTGCAGATGGAAAAGTTGGGCCAAGCATATCTGAAAACCACTACATGAGAACGGCCAGTTAACCAGAACCAGAGTGCAAGGGGTGGGCTGCCTAGCCGTGCCCCTGCCCGGCTGCCTTCACTTCCTGCTGACAAATGTGTGTCTACTCCTCTTGTTTCTTCAGCATCCCAGCATAGATGGAAGACAAGCACCTCCCAGGGACCTCCTGGCCCTTCAGCACCAGCTTAGAGTGGCCAAGGCCTACAGCTTCATGAACTGATCAGCTGCTGGGTTCTTAGCCTCTTCAGTGGGCAGACAGGCATCATTGGACTACCCAGCCCCTGCCAGGTAAGCCCACCCAGTCAATTCCCATAGCTATAAGTGTGTGTGCGTGCGTGCGTGTGTGCGTGCGTGCGTGCGTGCGTGTGTATGTGTGTGTGTGTGTGTGTGTGTGTGTGTGTGTGTGTTTACATATTCACAGTATGTGTATGCCTTCTCCTGGCCCTGTTCCTCTAGGACTCTCTCTGGCATAACAGAAAGCTCAGAGGTCACAAAGCTCTTGTTCCCAGGCTAAAAGAATATTCATAACATCAGGTGTCTACATTTCTAACACCTGGCTGTCCTTCTGTGCCTTTGCTGTCCTGACATGTCCTTCCATGTCAACTTTACCTGTAACCACTCTGTTACCATGACAGCAAGACAGGGGGCAAGTGTGGGGACAATGAAGGGAAGAGAGTTGGTATATGACAAGTAAGGCTTAGTGGCCACACCTGTCATCGCAGCACAGGGGAGGCTGAGACAGGAACACCTCCAGCCAAGGCCACCCTGGTTATACAAGGAGACCCTGTCACCAAAACAAACAACACACACACGCACACACACACACCACACACACACACACACACACACACACACATGCAATACACACACAATGCACACATGCATGCACACCAAAACAAAACATACCAAAGTGATATATATTAGAATATCCGCATCCTGTGAGGGCCTGGTCAGTGTGTGGTCCATGCAGCTGTCTCTGCAGTCCATCTGGAACCACTCAGCTTCAGGGTAGAGAGAATGGGAGGGCTGTGACCCTTTTCCTTCTCTTTCTGTCTGAGCTCACAGTGCAGAGCACCAATTGTCCTGCACTTCCTGGTTCTGGTTCTGTTTCCTGAGCCACCAGGGAGGCTCCTCCTCTCCCTAGCCTGAAACTCCTTTGAGCTCAGAAATGGCAGTGGGACCCAAAGTCTTTCTGAGATACTGATAGGTATGTGTGACTTGGTCCTCACCGATGACAGGCAGAGATGCCAAGTGGTGGCAGAAGTCAGGAGTCAGGGATTCCTCGATGAACAATTAAATCACCAAGGCCAAGGGGGAGGTGGGATGGAGGAAGTCAGGGCGATGCATGGAGGGGCCTGGTGCACACAGGGCCTACCCCAAAGCCTCTGCCCCTCTGACTCCTTTCTTCACATCTGTCCAGTTAGAAGGAAAAACCACAGCTTCAGATATGCAGGTGGGTGTGGCAGGGACAGCTGTGAACTTCGTTGTTCCAGGTATGGCCTGACAGGCCGAAAGTGCCCTCCCTGGAGCTCCCCACTAGCTCGTGTTGCTACTGAAGCCAAGAGGGGAGGGGAGAATTGATGGCGTGGCCTCGCACTCAGTCCCTCACAGCTGCGTCTCCAGGTGTGCGTCTCCAGGTGTGCGTCCAGGTGTGCCTTGTGAACACAGGAGACAGATATGTTCAGGAAATGGTGAAGAGCTCTCAGGCTTCTGCAATTTTCCCCTTATCCACAAGGACCCTTTTATGTAATTACCCTAAATATTGGTTTTCTTCATTACGGATGAGTTCCATCTTCATAAATAGGTATGGTTACTGCTTGTTTGAGCCTAGCTTTCAAGCAACCCCTGAGACATTATCTTTTATGGCAATTTTCATTTTTCCATATAAAATTATCAAGTGCTACTAAAATTACCCTTGAATCCTCTTCTGAAGGGAAAAGAAACAGAAGCCATGCTGCTCGGTGTTCTGCCTGAACATTCCGGTGTCAGCTGAGAGCAGTTCCAAGCTCCACCTTAGAGTAGCCTAGTGACAGGGAGAGTTGCCTAACCTCTTTGGGCTCCTCTTCCTCCCACAAGCTCACTGCAGACTGACCTCAACTCATTCCAGTTGGGATTTTATTTATTTTTTAACTGTGATGACATGTATGTGATATGTACTCAAAGAAACCATACTTGTTTTGTGGTGGTTTGGGTTTGGGTCTTTTGAAATAGCATTTCACAAAGTGCTTAAAGCTGACCTGGAACTCACTATTTAGCTCAGACTGGCTTCAAAGTTTGATCCCCTGCCGCAGCCTCCTAAGTCCTGGAATTAGAGGTGCGTGCCACCATACCTGGCGAGAAACCATGCTCTGAGTGTTTAGCTTTTTCCGGGCTAGCAGTGAGCCATATGGTACTCTCTTGAGACGCTGGGCAGAACCCAGTCAGCCTGTGGTCCAGTCATAGCCCACACTTATTCTGGCACCTAGCAAGTATAAATCACTATGTACGAATTGTTGTAGACATGAGCATATCAAACACGTACTTAAACAAAAGCACACCCATTGAACAAAGCGCTGAGAGAGAGTTGGGCCTACTGAGAGCAACAGTGAATACTTCAGAAGGTTGCAGGTCCATCCCAGAGGGCGGGGAGGGCAAATGTAGGGAGCGAGGCCACAAAAATACCAAGGATGGGATCCAGCAACTGTAGTGCTCAGTGGTGGCCTGAGACATCGTGCTTGAGGAAAAGCTTCCGGTCTGACTCGGGCCTTGAAGGATGAAAGACAGGAATTTGCCTGTCACCGGCGGTGGCAGAAGAGTGGGTGTCTGAAGCCTATGGAGCAGTGTGTGCAGGCATGAAAATATCCCCCAGGCAGCTGGCAAACACCTTCTGTGGGTAGACGGTAAGACAGGATGCTTTTCTTCCCATTTTCCAAAATGTCATCTCTCAGTTGCTCACGCAGAGCATCTAACCAGCAGCCAAGGGCTTTGAAAAATGTTTGGTTCCTAGTGACTCACCACCACCATTAACTAATCAAATGCTGTGACTCAGTGCTCTCCCTGCTGGATCTGCAATGCATAAAGAGTGTGTGTGTGTGTGTGTGTGTGTGTGTGTACACGCACACATGTGTGCGCACGTGCGAGTGTGTATGTGAGTGTGCTTGTGTGCCTGTATGTGTGTGTGTCCCCATGCCTGTGTGCATGCTCCCATGCCTGTGTGTGTCTGCCTGCATGTATGTGTGTGTGTGTGTGTGTGTGTGTGTGTGGTTGAACACAGGGCCTTGTGCATACAGAAAAACACTACAACTAGTGTTAAGACATCTCCATATATTTCATTGCCATTTACATATATGAACCCAAGAAATTATTATGAAAACATATTCCAATGACATCACTTAAAATTTTACAAAGCCCTGGAAATATTTATAAACGCCAATGAGTCTTCTCAGGAATGGAGAGCATGGGAGAGGCCACGCTGAGTGTCTCTCATTTCCTCACTTACACTTAGGCTTTCTGTGTTTCTGGTATGTGATCAAGTCACTGCTCAACAGTTAAGAGATCTAAAGCCCCAGCTCAAGCTCACTGCATTTTAAATAAATATGGAAAACAAGTATGGGAAGTTGAATAAACATGGAAAGCAGCTTCCCATGCCACCAGTGGGGTGGCGCTCATTGTTGTCCCACAGCATGGAATGTTCATGAGGAGCCGAAGCAACTGAGCCTGACTCACAGACACGCCGGTGAAGCGTGTGTGTGCACAATGCTACCTCCAGGTACACAAACTATGACTACGTATTGGTGATTTGTAAAGTGTGGGTTAGAAAACTATAAGCAAGCTCAACATAAGCAAGTTCACTCTGGGGAAGAGGAAGAAAAGAATGAGGAAGCCAGCTGGGGTGATAAGCAGACTCCACTCTGAGGTTAAAACAGCAGAGCAAACTGTTGGCCGCTGGGGCCGGAGGGATGGCCCAGCAGTGAGGGCCAGTCCTCCTCTTGTGGAGGACCAGGGTTTGCTTCCAGGAGTCACACCCATGTCACATGGCTCACACCTGCTGTCAACTCCAGCTCCAAGGAGTAACCCTCTTCTGGCCTCTGCAGGCAGCTGTACTCAGTGGACATCCCCCCCCCCCCGTTCTCTCTCTCTTACACACACACATATATATATGTGTGTGTGTGTGTGTCTGTGTGTGTCTGTGTGTACATAGTTAAAATCTTTTCAAAGAATGCTGCAATTATGATTTAGCTTCATCATTGTAATTTTTTTAGCTAAAAATAGAATATTTTATCTGGCTTTGTAAGTTCAGTGTGAATGAAAACTATAGTTCTGTTCCAAAGAGAATGAAAGATTGTATATTCTGAGCCAAAGTGAACTTTTATAGTCATGCAATTAAAGATACTAATAAATGAGTGCATTAGCCAAACAAAAGTGTGGGGAAATCAGGTAGGTGGGTTTTGGCAACGCTGAGATACTGCCATAGATTTCAGGTGCTGTCTGATATGGTCTGCTGCTGCGTTAATATATTTTACATGAAAAATGACTCAGCAGATAAAGGCGCTCGCCACCAAGACTGTAGCTCAGTCCCTGGAAACAGAGACCCAGCTTGCACAAATTATCCTCTGATCTTCACATCTAGCTGTGGCATGAGCATACACATGCATACACACACACACACACACACACACACACACACACACACACACAAGTGCACACACATCCACACACACATGAACACACACACATCTACACACACATGCACACACACACACATGCACACACACACACACACATGCACACACACACGTGCACACACATCTACACACACGTGCACACACATCCACACACACACACATGCACACATGTGCGCGCGCACACGCGCACACACACGTGCACACACATCTACACACACACATGAACACACACACACATCTACACACACATGCACACACACACACATGCACACACGTGCACACACATCTACACACACATGCACACACACACACATGCACACACGTGCACACACACATGCACACACGTGCACACACACACATGCACACACGTGCACACACACACACACAAAATGTAGTTTAAAATTAAGAGAATAAAATCATGTGTAACCTGACAGTCGGAAGGATGACAGTGGTGGTCTGGATGAAAATGGCCGCCGTAGACTCATGTATTTGAATATTCGGTGTTCAGTTGGTGGAACTGTTTGGGAAGGATTAGGAGGTGTGGTCTTGTTGGAGGAGGCGTGTCACTGGGATGGGCTTTGACATTTCAAAAGACACCCCATTCCCAGCATGCCTCTCTCTACCTCCTAACTGTGCATCAGAATGTGTGCTCTCAGTTGCCTGCACCATTGTGCCTTAGCTACACCATCACAGACTCTCAGCCTGCTGTAACCATAACCCCCAGATTAAACACTTCTTTTTATATGCTGCCTTAGTGGTTGCGACTTATCACAGCTCAGAAGAGTAACTCAGACACTAGATGAGGGGAGAGCTTGGTGATAAATGACTTTAGGAGATTAAAGGTATCTTGGGATGATTCTGGCTATTATTAACCTGCTGCACTGAGACTATTCACAACCAGAGAGTTGTGGCAGACCCTCTGCACGGGTGGCCCTGGTTGTGGCTCTCACATAACCAGCAGAGGAATGAATTGGTTCTGCCATTTCAAAGATGTGATATTGACTTTTCCTGGTGAGAAGCAAAGACACGCCCAGTAACCCTATAACCTCAGTTCTGGCATAAAAGCCGTAACTTTCGCAGCTCCCAAATGGTCTAAGACTGGCCACACAGGCAGATGGAGAGGTGAGCCACGTGAAAACCTGCAAGAGACTCGAGGCATAGACAACAGGGTCCAGACATGGAAGCTCGTCTTTGGGGCCGAGGTCTGCAGACTTGAGCGTTCCGTTTGCCCATCTCAGTCTAATTCTGCAAGTCGTTAGGAAGTTCTTGTTGCCTACAGAGACAAGCTGGTCTCAGGAGACAACTGTTATGTCCAAACTATAGCCTCGACCTCATGAGCTGCTGGCCTCACCTGGGGTGGTCCCGATCTGGAACTTCTAGAAGCCAAGCCAACTAACTGTAGGTATAAGGTAGAGGCTTGTCTTGTTGCTTCAACTTTGAAGAGGAGGGAGACAGCTCACAGGTGCTCCTTAGTGACTAAGCCAGAGGAAAGGGGGGCAGGAGCAGGGCGAAGGCAGGGTTCCCTGAATGCTCTGCACTTAGCTGCCTCCAGGGCACAAAGTGGCTTCTGGGGACTTTAGAAGCCCTCAGACAGAGATGCTGGAAAAAACAAGAAGAGCAGGAGATAAACACTGTACTTTATATGACCTCAGACAGAGATGCTGGAAAAAACAAGAAGAGCAGGAGATAAACACTGGTCAGGCGGTTTTAAGTAGAAACACTCAAAGTGACCTTTTGACACTTGTCCTTGTCCTGAAGCCAGAAATGCTCCTCATGTCATTTATAAATTGAATGCCACAAACTGATGTCTTCCACAAAGATCCTTCTGTAATCAGTGAGGGCCAAAGCCCCACTTCCCACAGCCCCAGCAAGCCCAACACATCAATCAACGAGAGTAATGCACAAAAACACCACTGTGAGGAGATTTAATCCATGTGCTAGGAAGAACAAACAAAAGGGTTCAGGGACCCCAAATTCATCTTCTGGGTACTGACATGAGGCTTAAGTAGAGGTCACAGGCAGATAGGTTGTGGGCCTCAGTGTTGCCTGATGGCATGTTGGCCCTTGTGTTGGTGGAAGCTAGGGGCTCTATTTGTACATTCGAAAAGACTTATGTTAGGCCAGACACAGGGATTAGCAATGAACGGCTATTAAGAGGACTGAAAATGGCTAGATAATTAGACTCCTCACCTACAACATTTCTACCATCTGAGATCACAGTAGTCAATCAGCTTGGAGAGTCATCAATGGGGTTAGCTTTTGTCTGGGAACTTTAGTTTCATGAGCATGGGCTACTAGTGAGTGACCTTGAGGATAACCTAAGCAACATAGAAAGATTGTATCTCAAAAACACAGATAAAACAGCACACGTGCACGTGCGCGCGCGCACACACACACACACACACACACACACACACACAGAGAGAGAGAGAGAGAGAGAGAGAGAGAGAGAGAGAGAGAGAGAGAGAGAAGAGGAGAGAGAAATGTGTATTTTTTTAACATAGGATGTTTTGAATGTTGACAGTCTGTGTGAAGTTGTCAGGGCAGGGAAGCCGAGCACAGTGGGGACACACTTGCTCTGACCTCTGCACAAGTAGGCAGGGTTTAAATTTCTCGGCTGTAGACTTGCCTGTCGGTTCAGAGCAGACTCCCTCCCTGTGTGCCACCAGGTACCAGATGACTTCTCACTGGTGTGGGGAGAGCGGCTCTCATCACAGTGTGGGGAAGGAAATACGTTTGACATAAAAATACATTTCATTATGTTGTTTATTCCCTGCTATGTTTATCATTTTAATGGCTCCGTCTACCATTCTGTTAAATGCGTGTTTCTTCCACTTGAAACAATGCAATTAGTAAAGCCCACACTGCTGTCTCTTGTGGCAGCACCCTCCAGAGAGCCGCTCCTAAGTAATGCAGAGGTGACCTTCAGCAAGGATGTGAGCGGCCGAGTCCAGGACCACGTTGCACAGGGCTCTTCCGTGCAAAATGTGCCCACGTAATTCTGGCTGCCCACGGTATACTGTATTTACTGAAGTGAGGGAGGTGCTGAGGAAAAGCTTGTTTAGGAACACTCTACTAAACACATCTTGGCTGCACAACTTCTAACAGGCTCATTGGCAGTACCGGCCTCCAGTGGAGGGGAGACCTAAAGCCTTTCTTAGATTGATTTACCCACAAAGCTTTTTTTTTTTTTTTTTTATTCTGAATCACCTTGTAGTGAAATCGGATCTGTGCCACCTGACCCATGGGCAAAAAACCAGGAGTCAGTTCTTTCTATTGTGTATTATTCAATAAGCTGTCAGCCTGAGACAGTGGGGAGCTGAGATTGAAAAAAATCCAACTTACATCTCATCTTTAGCCAGCAGGTTGTGTAGGGAGGGGAGACAAAGGCAGGCAGCCAGTCATGGTAAAGTCTTGTCCCTCTGGTCAGTCAGTGGTCAGCCTTAGGTCTGCGATGTGTGGCCTTGCTGTTTTGACCTTATTTTCCCTCTATGTAGCAGGGGACGGCTAGTATACACTGAGCCACCAAGTCCTGCCTTCCGCTAAGGCCTCGAGACTGAAGTGTATCCCAGAACAAACAAGCCGTTAGCAGTGTGTGGTGTAGATTCCTTCCCACAGAAGGGTGTGTAAATGTGCTCTTACCTTGCCTGGAGACTGAGAAGTGCCTCTGCCCATAGAAACACAGTCATCATGGGGGCGGGGCTGGGGAGAAGTGGGAAGGGCATTCTGGAGTCAGCGGGGATTCACTCTGCGCTGAGGCGCTCACCCAGTTGCTTTCTGGTAAGATGATGCTGGGTCTATGGCCCTCCCCTAGGGTCCACCTTCACCTGTACAACAGAGGCCAGTATGTCTTCTGCATGGTTTTCATAAGAACTACAAATAATTACATGGATTCTGCTTAAGGTTATGACATGAAACCCTATGATGATGATAGACCATAGGTCTCACTACAAACTGAAGAATAAAATTTAAAAAAAAAATTTGTTTTCTTAAGGAGTAACAGACCCTTGCCTTCCACAGGTAAATGACTAGCTTGCCATGGGAGACTTAGCTGAAGGAAGCAGTGCTCACAACAACCAATGAGCATTCCTTGTGCTGGAATCTCCCCCAAGAGCATGACCTTTTACGCAGAAGACCTCTGCTATGTTCCAAGCAGTGGGTGCAGCTGGGACTTGAGTTTGGAGAGACAGGAGATCGAGACAGTCCTAAAATGATTAGATCAGAAAGACAGGTGTGGTGACATTTTGTTTGTGCTCTAACAAATAAAGCTTGCCTGGAGATCAGAGTGCAGAGCTAGTCACTAGTTAGCCACAGAGGCCAGGCAGTGGTGGCCACGTCTTTAATCCCAACACTGGGAGGTGGAGACAGGAATGATCTGGCTGGGCAGAGAGAGGAATATAAGGTGGGAGGAGACAGGAGCTCATGGCATCCAGTCTGAGGATTCCTAGGGACAGGATCGCCCCCTTGGTCTGAGGATTCAGTAGAAGTAAGAACTATAGTGGCTGGCTGCTCTGCTTCTCTGATCTTTCACCATTAACTCCGGGTTTTTATTGCTAAAACCATTTAGAATTCAAGCTACAGGCAGGCGGGGGAAACAATGAAGCATGGTACTCTCAACACACTTGAAGCCAGGAAGGAACGGGAACAACCTTCAATTGCCACCTGTTCTGCTAATGCAATGTCCCACTGGACTGAAGGGGACAGCCCTTCACCCTCTTCCAGAATAGGGAAAGTGTGCCCTTTGTGGAGAGAAATCTGTTCATACTCGTTCTTAAGTCTTTTCACACCATATTCAGCATAAGAGAGAGAGACAGAGACAGAGACAGAGAGGGAATGTGAGTGATGAGCCAACCAGTAAGAGTGCTCCTCGTGATCTGGATGTGAGTGATAAGCCAGTTAGGAACACAGTAAGCGCCAGCACTTCCCTGTGCTGGAGAATTCTAGGAGTCTTCCCAAGCGTCATAGGACCTGTGCCTTTTAGACCCTCCAGCAGCTCCCTCGCAGTCCCCAGGCCAGTGAGTAGAACTAAATGCAAACCGAACCTTGGTGACAATGTGTTAGGGCTGCTATGGGCTAACTTGTGAACCCAGAGAACAGTGACATGTCCCTGCAGGAGCCAGGGATCGCCTGGAGTCAGCTCCAAGGTTATTTTCAAAGGTGTGAACCCTACTGGACACGGAGCTCAGCAGCTTTGGGTGTACCCTCGGAATACAGACCCAGCACCTGTGTAATCTCTAAGTTTGCTGCTGATGGGTTCCATCGTGTGCCTGTGTAAGAATACGTCTATGTGGTGTGTGGAAGTGTGGCGGTATGCACTCGGAGGCCAGAGTAAGACAGCAGCTGTCTTCCCCCGTTGCTCCCCACCTGATTGCTTTGAAACCTGTTTCTCTGAACTGTTTCCTAAGCTGGGCAGCCCTAAAGCTCTCAGGATCCACCCCTTAATGCTGCAGTTACAGTCACATACAGCCATTCCTGGCTTTCATGTGGGTGTTGGAGATTTGGACTCAGGTCCTCACAATTACAAAGCAATGCTCTCACCTACTCACTGTTCTTGTTAGTTTTTATTTACGTGATAAAACATTGGCCAAAATTAACTTGGTAAGGAAGGAGTTCATTAATTTTGCAGCCTACAGTCCATCATCCAGGGAAGTAAGTAACTCAAGGCAGGAACCTACAGTCAGGAACTGAAGCAGAGGCCATGGAGGAGAGCTTCTTACCATCTTTCTCTTCAAGGCTTGCTCAGTCTGCTTTACCACCACAGGCGGTACCACCCACAGAGGGTTGAGCCCGCCCCCATCCATCATCAATCAAAAAAATGCCCCACAGACATGCCTATAGGCTATTTGATGGAGCCATTTTTTTCTCAAATGAGCTTTTCTTACCAGATAATGCTAGCCTGGTCAAGCTGACAAATGTGACCAGGACACCTGTGGGCCACTTCCCATCTTCCACTGGCGTGGTTCTTAAAACATAAAAAATTAGCTGGGTCTGGTGGTGGCTCACGCCTTTAATCCCAACACGTGGGAAGCAAAGGCAGGCAGCTCTCTGAGTTCAAGGCTGAGTTTGTAACTATAGAAGGCCCAGAAAATACCTGTGTCTGTGAGGGACTCATAGGGCAAGCTGTTCAAGCAGGAATGCAACATTTGCCTTCAAAGTTCAATAAGCCTCTGCTTCTCCTGTTCGGTTTTCTCTTCCTGCACACACTGTCTCAGCTGGCACCACTGCCGGGTCTCGCAGAGTGCCCGGTCCACAGGCCTGGCATCCTATGCCACAGACAGGCAGACCTGGGAGCCTCGGATTGCATCACCATAGGTGGCCTGGGCACGTGGATGCAAGGAGACCTGCTCTAGGTCACAGGGGCCTTTTGTCACTTTTGCTGGTGGCACATCCACAGGGACCCAAGAAGCAGAGAATGTCACCACAGAGAGAGATGCAGACATGAGAGACAAAATGACACGGAGACCTCACAGATCTTGGCTTCCACACAGGAGATCTTTCCCTGCAGAATACATTCTACCGACGACACCACGGCCACCTCTTACCCCCCCCCTTTTGTTTTTTGCACGAGCAAGCATAATTTCTATTATTTACAACTTACTTTGTTTACTACAATAAACAGGGTGGTGGGGGAAGCAAGCAGATTTTTTACCTTGATGCGAACTTTACGGTAAACAATATCATTTCCCCTAAACGCAGAGAACTTCTCTGTAATTTTCATGTTTGGGGATCATCATCAACGTGTAGAATGGATCCCAGCTGATGTAAATAATTGAACTACAGAACCTGAAAAGCCCCCTTGCCACCCCGGGATGTGGTGGCAAATGTCAGGAAAGTGTGACTGGGAAAATAATATTGTTTCGCTGTTTCAAAAATAAAAAACTAATGAGCCTCCAAATGCTGGAAGCATTCGAAACAGAACGTACAGGAGTGTGTGACATTACAGGGGAAAGGAAGCATTTGGGAAAAACTGGAAATACATTTTACAATTCCTTTTATTCATGCAAAGCACACACACAAAAAGTCCCAAAGTGTCTGAGGTGGGAAATGTAAGTCCACATAAACTACAGGCAGGGCAGCTCTTAAATTTTCGTTTTTATTTACTGACGGAAAGAAAATAATTTAAAGTTGTAAAAAGAGAAAAAAACAAAAAACAAAAAACAAATTGGCAAAATTCTCGGCTTCCTTCCTGTTGATCTCACTGCCAACAGTGCCCCCTGGTGGCGAACTGAGAAGACGGTGGTGGAGGAGGGAAAAACTCGTTAAAAGGGAATTTTCATGAAAATGCGAACGATTACGATTCCACCTGGTAACTGAATGTTGTATGCGGCAAGAGAAATGAATCTTTACAGAGGTTCACAGCAGACGGGTTTCCAAGCCGGCTCTCCCGGGTGGTTGGCCTGGCGCACGCACCGCTTCTGTGCCTGGCTGACTAACGGGTGCATCCGTGGCTTAACGAGAAAACAGAGTCTGCTTTCCTGGGGGATGCCGTCGCTCTCCCGAACTTCTGCCTTAACCCCTGTTACTTTCAAGAACCGTAGCTTCAGACAACAGTGTGCAGGATCTGACCAGGCCCGGAGCTCGGCGACCAGACCAAGCCCTGTTGGAATCCGAGCGAGCCCACCAAAGCTGCGGGATGGGGAGGTTACAGAAGGAAATTGCTCTGACCCTGACTCTGCCGAAGCAAAGGACGAAAGCCACTCACCGGGCCACTCCTCACCCCTGTCAACCGCTGCAGCCTGGGCCCATTGAACATTGCTCTCCGCCCTCAGCCCTGCCAACCTCTTCCCCTGAAACTCCCTCACTGTAGGACCCTCCAGGAACCGGATGTGGGTGTGACTTCCAGAGGGTCTTAGACCCTCTTTCAACAAGTGTCCCGAATGTGAACAGCCTCCGGGTGACTTTGGGAGGGTGTGACCCCGCCCTGCGTGCCAGGCAGCCTTCCACCCAAGCACAGACAACATGTTTGGAGGGCTTCGCTGGGCGCAGACAAGGCCCCCCT